GATACTGGACCACCAGATGGCGCATAAAACCCCGTGAAATCCTGCTGCCTGCCTACATGTAGACTGGTGTGTCAGTGAACTGATCCTAGTGGTAAACTTCACAAAAGAAAAAAACACCCTCACTGTTTCACTTGTCTGTGCTGAAGCTGGCGGGACATCACACACAAAGAAAGTGGTTTATAGGATTAGCCCATGCATGACCTACATTATAATATTATGTTAAAACATCCTATTATAAGTTGGCTTTAGGTGGAAATAACCATCACATGTGGCAATAATCTTATCAACTTATGTCTAGTGAAAGCGGTGAAAAAGATCCTCATTTCTGATTGGCTGACACATTCGAAGACATTATAACGCGCCCGATGAACACACACCTGTGATTATAAGCATTAACGCTTATAATCACATATAATCATTTAATAGTTGCGAATGTAGCTTTTTCTATCTATCTATCTATCTATCTATCTATCTATCTATCTATCTATCTATCTATCATTTTTTCTCTCTCTCAGTGTGAGGTACATTAATAATAGTGAAGTTGACTGACTTTATCAAACCGATGGATGGCGCTATTTATTCAATCCCACCCCCCACTTCTCAGTTACCAGTCGCTGATCTGGAACCAGCCCAGATGCGCTATTCAACAAGGATATGAAGCTGAAAGAGTCAACAGCAGACATCAGATCAGTGAGGAAAGTTTGGGGTTGCTGAAGGAGAGGATACATTATAGGCTAATAATAACTTTGGGGTGTCTTCTGTATGATCGCTTCACGGGTGATTGGAGTGAATATTTATGGTAATCTTGTAAGGAAAAGTAATCTGAGTTTACTGAGTGGTGGGTAGGTCTTTTAAACGGGCTGGGTGGGGGATGTTAAGTATGGATCTTCATCAACAAGAGAAAGAGAGGGAGAGAGGTGGGGATGGTTGGGAGCACGTTGGGGGGAGGTCATAGATGCCGCATGGTTAGAAGAGCAGTGATAAAGCTCAGAAGATCTCGCATACCAACGACGCATCTGCATCTTTTCTACTGGAAGACTTGTTTATGGGGAAACCTCACATTTGCAGCCTCACATTTGCAGCTAAAATGCTAGCACTAATTCAATTTTTAGACCTGGCTTGTGGAGGGTAGATATGAGATTGAGCCGTCAGTGTCTTTGAGCTTGAGCAGCCTTTTGTGAGAAGTTGGGAAATGAAGTGAGAGAGAGAAAAATCACCTTTGGAGCAGTTCAGAGGATGTTTTTTTCGGATCTGTGCCACAGCCTCACAGGAATCTGTTGGTTCAGTTTAAAACAAATCAGTCTGTCTCTCACGCTGCTGCAGCTTATGTTACAGAGTCACTATAAAATATTCATCCATGGAAAATCTCTTTGATTCCAGACGGTCACTTGGCTTCATGCGCCATGCAGGTTAAAGTCAGATGAAACATGTAACTCAAACTAGAGCGTCGGGAGACCTGATGTCCAGCAGGCTGATCTCTACTTCACCCTACATTTGCTCTATCAAAGGAACACCGGGAGAAACGCTTGGTCTGCCTGTGCCTTCTCATTCATTCACGGCGAGAGAGGGAGAGAAAAAAGGAAGCATGTCCACTTCCTCCTCTACCTCTTTTACAGGTGAGTGCGCTAAATTTTACCAACATTTTCCCCTATTTCCTCCAGCTTAAATCCACCCTCCTCAAGAAAAGCCTTGATTGAGACTGGCTCACCTATGTGCTGAAACCCCCCCCACTACCATTCCCTGACCTGAAATGACCGACGTTACCCACCGTGAAGACTTGATGGATTGGTTCTTTAATCAAACGTAATCAAAACCGATTTGACGCTAAAGATGCGCACAAATGCGCCCAAAAGATTGCTTATCGTTTTGTTTTAAGGGAAATTACGCATTACACAGTTATTTGTATAACTACAACTGGAAGTCTTTAAAGGGAACTATCCCCAATACACGGGGGAAACCGGAAAAACAGCAATTAAACAAACGAGATCCATCATCACGGGATCTCTGTTAACCACTTTAAGCTGTATATTATGATATTTAAGGAGTATTAGCGTTGGTATAGCAGATCTATCGATTACATTGTGGGTGGATGCTCAGCTTCTCTATTTGTTTGACTAAAACTTCAGAAGGTTCAGTGAATCCAGGAGCAAGAAAAAACAGTCATACTGACCCGCTGAAGCCCCGCAGAACAACACGACAAAATAATCCAAAAATAAATTGGAAGAATGCGATATAGATGCGTGGCCCCATTGTGCGCAGTTTTTGGCGCACCAGCGGTACAAGCGCTTCTTCTCTAACCTCCCCCCTCTCCTCGCGCTCTCTGTGACGTCACTGATATTTCATTCAGATATTTTCACCCTGTTTACTCCCGGTGCAGGAGCCTTGGCCGGATGGTTAGACTACCACTACGTGATTTACCGCCCATAAAGTTTACTTTCGTCGCTTTTCTTTCTCTTCCTCCCTCAGAAGTAAACGGGAAATTCATCTCCTGAGACCAAAAGGTAAAACAAAACAAAAAAAAAATATGGCTGTTGGAAGTGTATCAAATTGAAAGTCGCCCTAAAATGCCTCCAGTGAACAAATATCCAATCCTAATTTAAATGGAACGGGGCTTTTAAAAAATCGTATTTTACGAACTGAAGCATGAAAAACGAAGGGAAAGTTTTTGAGTTGCCCCTGTGGTCAAGTACGAACCACACAATACGCGTGTGCTTTTCTGTGCTGTGTGAATATTTTTTTTCGTTGACTCTAAATATTTGTTAACGAAATCTGTGAAGAAAGCAGAGGAAAATATTCGATGAATGGATGAGAAAAAAAATATCAATTCTTCTTTGTCTGCAGAGAGTCACCAACATCCAGGGATGGAAATTAAAGTGAGCTGTGCTTCGAATTTGAAACTAGATTAAAAAAAAAAAAAAATTAGAAAAAAAACGTCATTTCTTGGCGTGTTTTTTTTCTTCTCTTAAAACACTCCATAAGCATGTAGTCTTCAGGTCCTAAAAATAACCCTGAGGGGAGATGACCCCGCTCTGCCAACACTGTTTATCCATCCTTGTAAACGATAGGGAAAAGTGAAGGATTGGTAGCTGGAATGCATGAGGTAAACGACAAAAAACAACCCCCTCCTCACAAAAAAAGAAAAAGAGAAAAGAGAGAGGGACTCAATGAACCCTTTGAACTGCATTGACAGCAATGCAGGGTAAAATGCAAGTTTCCTCTGGGAGCCTACTTGGTGAAGAGTGGGGGTTGGGTGAGGTTAGCTGGGGAGAGGGAGTTCAAAGACTGCACAGAAAGTTGGTATTCAAACAACTCAGGAATCTGCATGTGCTCATAAATATATAGTTCATCTAAGACAACTGAAGATCTAAATCGCCACTGCACTGATCTTTCCTTGCAGGCTTAAAAATAAAGAGCAATACAGATTAATTAACATTTGAACAGGTTTTAAAAGATGGCTTATAAAAGACACATTTAAACAGAATATGTACTGGTATGTGACTTCCACTTGGTTTTCACTAAACCCCCAAAACACAATTAAATGAAAAAATTCTCTCTTTATTTAAAAAAGAAAACAAAATGCTCTTAAGATCCTATAGTTTGCAGCTTGGATGCACACATTTCTTTCTACTGATTAGAGCTATTAACTG